CCAAAGTAAGAACACTAGACCACAACTCAGGATTCTACCAAACAGGTCTACCCCCACCCATTCCTTAAAGAAAGAAAAGGCTGAAAAAATCCACGAGGAGAGTCCCTTCGTCAGTGACAGGTCCACTCGTGTTGAATTAATCGTCACAATTGCTGCTCTTAATGCCTCCAGCGTCTCATCAAATCCTTCTGACCAATTTCCTGCAAGGTATAAAGACAATTCTCTGGACATATTAGCAGCTTGTGTAAAGTTTTCATATTGTATGCTAGTAATGCAAAGCGCTCCCATTTTTCTTTCACACCCTATTTGAGCTAACTGAAAAAGGATGTCTAATCTCTCTTCCACCAGGTCCAAATGTTGATTTAGAATCATCAGGCCACCTTTTAATTGAACGGTGGTGGATGGATGAACGCTCATGGCCTCTGTTACTGCCCAAGATAACTGATTTAACACCGGGCCTGTCTGGACGCTGTTTGACATGGCAATCCCAGCAACCGTGGCTGCCACCGCACTAAGGGAAATTGCTGTGATAACAGCTGCGGTTATTCCAAAATCTCTTTTTTGTCTGAACAGAGACAAGGTGGATGGTGTTTCCACCGGAACGGGAATCCATTGAGGGACTCTGGCAACCATAGCATGTGAGAATCGTTTCCCATCCCAGCACTACGACATCCAACATGTATCGCTACTACAATTTGCGAAAGGAGCATTAGAGATTATAAACAGAAGGGGGGATACACACAAACGGGACTAGGTGGATAATCCGTTTGATTTACTATAGTTCGATTCCACCCAATAATTTGCGTAGTTGTATTAACCAATATTTTTCTCTCACCAGGCTTTCCCAATTATGTGGCAGTCATAGTACCCGTGACTGTTGACCTTCCCACTGCACCGCCTCGGAGAAATCCTATAGAGGAAATATCCGTGCAACTGCCATTTATCCCACAAAGCACCCATTTGTGAAATGGGTCCATTCCTTCATCTTGCACAAACAATCCTTTTTTCATACATGAAGCTTCTTTTGGATCCACTATCATGTTAGGGGAAAAAGTGAAGGTTTTGGCTTTGTCAGCCCAGCGAGTGACCCGAGATTGACAATCAGACCATGGTGGGAGGACCCCTTCGTCTCCAGGACGACAAGAGGGGGCCATTCTAGGCTGAGGGGTATGGTTCTCATCACCTAATCTCCACCCGGTTCCCTCTTGGGAATGCACCCTGTAGTCGGGCGCCAGAAAAGTACAATTTATCCAGGTAACTTGTTTCCAGGTGGTATAAAAGATGTCATGGATGCCCTCATCACTCCCTCTCTGCTTTTGAGTTATATTCGCATAATTTTTTCGTGAATGCTGAAACGAGGCCAGGGGTCTGTTAATCAAACGAATACAATCTCCCTCGTCCTCCGCGGTCACATTTTCTGTGATCGAAAACACAAAGCAGAGGGACCCTGACTCAAGGAAGGCACGGCTCTCTCCCAAGGTTGCTATAGATCCATCATGAGGTAGATAAGGTAAGCCTAAGGTTTTATTGGAGGTGAAAAACTTGGGGAAAACTTGTGAGCTATGTCTGACTGGGATAGGTTTTGGATAAGCAGATAAAATGGCCCAACGTTGGTCCCCTATAATACTAGGAACCCAAATCAGGAGGATCCAAACAAGCACCAGGAACCTCTGCAGGCACGTCCTTTGGGGAGTCATCTTCAGGTATCACAAGCTTCCGTGTCAAGCGTTCCAGTAACCAAAAGGGATTATCTTCTTCCTGTGGGAAAACACAGACAGCTCCCCTGGATCTTATTAAAATAGGATCCAGGCCTTTCCATTGACCAATCAGGACATCTTTCCATTTGACCATTTCTTTAGGCCTATCAGGCTCCAGACAATGACGATCTGCTGCCGAACGGCCCTGACTGTCCAAATTTAGAAAATTAAGGGTGAAGAGTGCTATAGAGATAGTCACTCGTGGTACTGAGGGCAAAGCCTCCTCGACTCCCCCTTTTTGTTTTATTAGATAAGATTTGAGTGTGCGATGAGCTCGTTCTATGATGCCTTGTCCCTGAGGGTTATATGGGAGACCTGTCAGATGGGTCACCCCCATCTGGCGACAGAATTGTCCAAATTTTTGGGAAGTATAAGCTGGTCCATTATCAGTCTTAAGGATTTTAGGCTTTCCCCAGGCACTCCATGCCTCGAGGCAATGCTGAATGACATAAGCTGCTTTCTCCCCAGTTAATGGGGAAGCAAAAATAATCCCAGAACAGGTATCAATAGAAACATGCAAATATTGTAATTTACCAAATGATGGGATGTGAGTAACATCCATTTGCCAAATTTGTAATGGACAGATTCCCCTAGGATTAATTCCAACATGAGGCATAGGTAAGAATTGACAACAATTTTGACATTGGGTTACTATATTTCTAGCTTCTTTTCTAGTTATGTCAAATCAACGACGCAGCATCTCAGCTGTGACATGAAACCTTTTATGAAACTCCTTAGCCATTTCCAATTTTGATAAGAGGGCGAACCCAATTAATTTTGTGGCTCGATCTGCCAAATCATTCCCATGGGACATAGGCCCCGGCAGGCTGAGTGGGCTCTAATATGCGTAATAAAAACAGGGGATCTTCTATTAATCAAGGCAGAATGAATCCTTTGAAAAAATTTTGCAAGTTTACTAGATGCCTTTATTAACCCAGCAGCTTCCAAAATCTTTGTTGCATTAACCACATAACAGGAATCTGAAACAATGTTTAAAGGACCCAAAAATTTCTCCAAAACTTCTAATACCACTAAACATTCTACAATTTGGGGCGAGGTTTCATGATATTGTTTAGAAACAACCTTGTTATTAACCACATAGGCTCCCACACCTGTCTTTGACCCGTCAGTATACACTACTAACCCATCCCGAAGAGGTTCCGCGGAGGTGATGTGTGGGAACACAACTGCTTGCATCAAAGCAAATTGTAAGATGGGATGTTTAGGATAATGATTATCTATCAAACCATCAAAGGAGGTGACTAGACTGCCCAAACGTCTGAGGTAGCAGATAAAGTTTGGACTTGGTGGGCAGTATAAGGCACTATCAGAGCCCTAGGTTCTCTTCCAAAGTGAGTGGTGGCTGCTTTTAAACCACGAAGGGCAAGTTGAGCAATTGCATCTGTATACCATTCAATAATTTTTGCAGGGGAGGCATTGGGATGTACCCACAGTAAAGGCCCGTCTTGCCATAGCACCGCTGTTGGCAGATTTTTAGTCTTAAAGACACATAACTCAAAAGCTCTAGTTTCATCTATACGTTTTAACTGAGCATCCTGCAAGGCCTCCTCCACCATGTTTAATACCTGATCCGCTTCGGGAATCAGTGTCCGAGGTGAAGTAATATGAGCCTCTCCCTCCAAAATGTCAAATAGGGGCTTCAATTCAGCAGATGGAATTTTCAAAAAAGGTCTAAGCCAATTTACATCACCCAGTAATCTTTGGAAATCATTTAGCGTGTGTAAATGATCCCTACGGATCTCTATTTTTTTGAGGAACTACATATTCTGGATAAATAACAGTCCCTAGAAAGGAACCTACTTCTGAAATTTGGACCTTTTCAGTAGCAATATGTAAGCCCCATTGTTCTAGAGTTTTTCGTAGGAGAGGATATGCAGTCTGCAAGACAGCTAACTCTTTATGGCACAAAAGAATGTCATCCATATAATGGATCAACAGTAAAGAAGAAAATTGTTTTCTAACCAGTTCAAGGGCCATTTGAACATACAGCTGACACATGGTGGGGCTATTGGCCATGCCTTGAGGTAAAACTCTCCATTGATATCTTTTGTCTGGCTCATATGACTAACAGCAGGTAGAGTAAAGGCAAATCTCTGTCTGTCTTGTGGGCACAGAGGAATGGAGAAGAAGCAATCCTTGATATCTATAATTATGACTCTCCATTGTTTAGGCAGAGCGGAAAGTAAAGGTAGGCCCAGCTGAACAGAGCCAAGAAGCCGCATCTGTGCATTAATGGCCCTTAAATCATGAAGAAGTCTCCATTTTCCAGACTTCTTTTTAATAACAAAAATAGGTGTATTCCAGGGAGAAGTAGATGGTTCCAAATGACCAAGGTGTACTTGTTCTTTAACCAGCCTTGTAGCAGCTTTCAGCTTTTCAGAGGAAAGGGGCCATTGAGGAACCCATATGGCCTCCTCTGTGAGCCAAGATATGGGCATGGAACCCTCAATGGCAGCTAATGAAAACCCAGGCCTTGTTTCCCTGTATTACTTTCCTGTGAAATCGGGTGTAATCTCCCTTGTTCCTGTTTACCAAGGCCTTTTCCTTCCTTATAACCCATCCTTTTCATTATATCAACAGCTTGTTGAGAGTACTCATTGGTCAATGCCAATCCCAAGTCTTGCAAGATGTCTCTTCCCCAGAGATTAACGGGGAGAAGAAGTACATGAGGTATGAAACTTCCTGTCTGACCCTCTGGTACTTGCCAGGTCAACGGGCGCGAGCTGACTGCAGGGCTGCCTTCATATCCTAACCCTTGTAAGGAATGAGATGACTGTGTAACAAGCCACGCCCTAGGCCACCAATTTGAGGAGATAATGCTCCGGTCAGCCCCAATATCTAAAATGCCAGTGAAAAGTTTCCCCTCTATCTGTAATTGTAAGGTGGGCCTAGTTTTTAAATCAACCACCAAGTGAGCAAAGTCAGTTCCTGAAGAACCGAACCCTTTGTTGTCCCTTGTCATTCCTGTGGATGGGAAAACATCCTGCAAGCTTGGAAGGAGAACTAACTGGGCAATCCTATCTCCAGGGGAAATGGAAAATATTCCTTGCGGACAAGAACAAAGAACTCAAAGCCTTCCAGTATAATCCTGATCTATTATTCCAGGATGGATAATAAGCCCCTTTAGGGTAAGAGAGGAACGTCCGAGTATCAGGCCAACACTTCCCTCGGGCAGAGGGCCCTCAAACTCAACTGGAATGGGTTGAACACCCAATTGGGGCATCAATAAGAACTGGGAGGTGGAACGGAGGTCCAATCCTGCTGATCCTCTTGTTGCTCTACAGCTGGATAGACCCTCCTGTTGCCTGCTTGTGTCCCATATCTTTGGGGCCCTGAGACCTGGGGCCCTGCGACCCGTTTTTTGGAATATTCTCATTCTTCTCATTAGGGGGGGCTTCATGCTGAATAAGTTTTCCCTGAGTATCCCTAACTGAATGACATTCATTGGCCCAATGATTACCCTTCCTACATTTGGGGCACAATCCTGGAACTTTCTTTTGTGCAGCAGCACGGCAATCTCACTTCAAATGGCCTGGTTTGCCACAACTATAGCAGGTTTTATTGCCTTCTGGACCTGAGCGGCTCTTGCTCTGCAGGATAGCCGCTGCAAGGCCAGCATTGGTAAGTGGGCCTCCAAGTCCTCGGCAGATCTTTATCCAATCTGTAAGCCTTTTGTTCCTTCTAGGAGTAATGACTGTCTTACATTCTGGGGAAGCATTTTCATATACCAACTGTTCTATCATTGGCCTGACTCGCTCTGGATCTCCAAATATTCTACCTGCTGCTTCTGTCATTCTGGCCACAAATTCTGAGAATGGCTCCTGAGGGACTTGTATAATCTTTGTCAGGTGTCCTCCGGCCTTGCCCTTCTTTGAAAGGGCTTTCCATGCTTTAATAGCGGCAGCAGAGATCTGACCATATGCCCCCCAATCATAATTTGTTTGATTATGAACAAACTGGCCTTGCCCCATTAGCAAATCAAATGTCCATTGCCGCTGATTGTCTTCTGCATGGGCACTGGCCCTTGCCTGAGTTTGGGAAGCATCATGCCACAAGGCTTTCCATTCTAAGTACTGTCCCATATTAGGGAGAGCAGCTTTTATGGTAATTTGCCAATCATTTGGAGTCATGGCCATGCTAGCAAGTCTTTCAAGCTGCATGATTGTAAAGTTAGCATCTACCCCGTATTTGTTAACCGATTCAGCAAGTTCTTTAACAAGGGGATATTCTACCGGTGCATGAACACGGCCCCCTTCCGCGGCCTCAAATACAGGGAAGGCCTGCAAAAGCTTCCTTTTATCCCTTTTCTAAAAGAAGGAATCTAAACCGTGCCTCTCAACATAAGGTGGAGGGGCACTAGGGGTCAATGGGAAAGCCCCGCGAATTCCAGCTCCTCCCCTCTTTTGCTCTCGATTTGGTGGTAACGGCTGCTCATCAGGGTGGTACCTCTCTTCCTCATAGCAAGCCATTTCCTCCTCTAAGTCCTCTTCCTCAGAGGGACTCAGCTCCTCAGATTCAGAACTATCAAGCCCCAAAGCCTCCAATTCTTTTATTGGATAAAGAGGCTTCTTTTTTGGGTTTTTCTTTCCCTTCTCACCTTTCTCTCCCAGGGCGTCCTTTCCCTTGTCTATCCTGTCTGTGGACTTACCGTCCACAGAAGGGCCTTTTTTCTTAGAGACGTCTCTTTCTTTTTCTTTAAGGGCCCCTAACCTTTTATCCCGTTCTGTTTCTGACATGCTGTCTTGTATTTCCTCTAACACCCCTTGGCCAGCCGCCACAGATAAGCGGCATTTCTTATCTTCTAAGCAAGATTTTACTAAAATCCACAATGACCTAGTTCCAACTTTTAGCTTTCCATCTTCTTCCTCCCTCCGTAAATCACCTTCTAGCTTATCCCAGGAAGCAAGCATCAGCGACCCTAAACATACAAACCAGGGAGCAATGAGATCAATTTCCGTAACAAATCCTTCCAACGTTCTTTTTGAAAGCTTTAGTTCATGCTGTTTTAAAAGTGACTGAAGTGCCGTGATCACCGAATGTGAAGCTCCCATGCTGCTCCCTTATCTACGAGAGAAACTGACACAGGGAGGGGCACCACGGCTTATTTACATCCGGCTAACAGTACCCAATGGCACACCAAAAGGGGGGACACCGCGGCTTATCTACGTCCGTCTGACTGTGCCGAACGGCGGCGAGCCTTTTAGCAAGAATATTTGTGGAAGCAAAATAAAACCAAAAGAAGGAGAACGAGCGCTACTATCACAATAGGGAAAGCTACAAGAGCTCCTGCCAATTGGGGTGAAAGATGAGACAATTCAAGACCAAACATGCCTCTCAGAACTTACCTTAGCGCTGCAGTTCTGAATCCTCCCCGCGAGGGGGGGGGCTCCTCAGGGCCGGCAATGAAAGGCTGCCCCGGCGTCCCGGGTTTCGGCACCAGTTGTTGCAACCCGCATAACCGTCTCGCCAGCAAGAACGCACACGGACAACAGGATCCTTTTGTAGCAAGCTTTATTGCAGCCAATTGATGAGAGGAGGAAGACCCCGAGCCCAGGAATGGCACTGCTTATATACACCCTAAGGCGGCATGTGGTCTATGATTGGCTGCTTACTCATTACCTCACAAGACGCCCTGGGCTGGGCCAAGACTTGCTGCGCTTTTGCCCTTGAGCATGCGTAATATTACTTGTCTTCCAGGGTCAGAGCTGGATGTCGGCACCATCTTGTAATGGCGTTTTGCCCGGGCACGCCCAAGCGGCTCTCCACAGGAACCAGGCCTGTCCTCCATTGAAGTCTCTCGTGGAGCCTAACAGCCAAAGTTCTCCAAGCATATCTCTGTGCATAGCAGGGAAAGCTGTCCCCAAACCACACCCCAGAC